TTGCTTTTAATTAATAAAAGAAGAAATAATGAGAATTTTATTATCATTATTTCATTATTTCTTTATTTAATAATAGACATAATGATAAGATTATTTAATAATAGAAATAATGATAATGATTTAATATAGAAATAATGATAAGAATAACAGAACTTTGACACTGAGTAACATGTAGAGATAAATTATTTTCTATCTTGAGCTTAACTATTTGTTTATCTCACATTTTTTATACAAGAGAAGTACAGAATCTTCCACTCATTGATTTACCCAAATGCAAATATACATCTATTTTATAATCAATTTTACAATTTGTACGTTTATACGCTTATATATGTTATAGATACTTAAGTTTATACTTTATAGATATATGTTTTGAAAAACAGCAAATTTTGAGTTAAAATGCGATATAAAATTTATCATAAAATATATCATAATCATTTAGTTCATTCTTTTCAGAAATAAAGAGAAACGTTTGAATGTAAATTTTTAAGTAATGTATACCAAAGTTTTATTTTTAATTCCTTGTACGAACCAAAGAAAGTATTGTTATTGCGAAAAATGTCGGGTACCATATTTAAAAGAAAACATCCATTTTGAGCGTTCTCGAATCCATTTGAATGATTTTATTTGCTTGACATTTGTAGAAACAAAACAAAGGATAATGTGTTTTTGAAACGGATTGTAAAATACATTTAAAATAGATTTAGAAGTGATATTTTTTCATGGCGTACATGCGTAAGTATCTTGTAATAAATCATAAACGATTAGCCGTAGAACGTTGATATTTTGTATATAAACTGCTGTAACATGTAGTTGTGCACCTCCCTTTTTTGTTATAATTCGTCGCACAAAACGTGTATATATATGCGTCTGTGCGTTATGTGTATGCATACCCACCCTCTTAACCCTGCTCGAGAACTCTTTTTTCTTTATTTTACATGCAGGCAAATCGTACATTTTTCGTTTTAAAAGTGATTGAATTAAGTTGTTCTTATGTTCCGGCTCAGGGTTTTATGACTTGAGTTAAAAATGTTAAATTAGTTAAAAATGTTTTAGTTTTTCTACAAGAGTTGTAGAATTATAAATATTTTAAAAGTTTAATTTGCACTGGGTCAGACGAGGGCGCCATTTGAGTTTATTTGAAACTCTTTGTAAAACTGTGAATTAAGTCAGTTGGTGCACCAAATTCAGCGTCTTTTAACATTTTGAATGTTAATTTTCAATTGGCCGCACTGAAAATTTGGTCTTTCTATCAGTTGGCCAAACTGTTTGTTTTTTCATATACATTTTAATCTTAATTGCAAAAATATTAAATGTTTCTAACTTTATCTGGTGTTTTAGGTTTCTTTGTTTTGAGTTTTTACATAGTTTTGCCTTGCCGAGAATTGAATTGATTGAATGAGAAATATACATCTAATGAAATTATAGGAAATAAGTTTAAATGAAGTACAATAAAATATGTATAATTTAATAGGCTATACAAGGAAATCATGTGTTGTTTACATCAGATATAGATAGATTCATGAAATACTGCTAACGTTTTGTTTACTGGGGCTTTGGCAAGGTTATTCTGTCCATTTCTGCAATAACCAAATCGTGCTGCTCAAAGGTCTGACATAAAAAATTATTTACAAATATTAAGGGAATTTGATGATAAAAACTATATGATTACTTACCAAATTAAAAAAGTACTTACATTTAGCAATTTAAATTTGAATACTTTATATAATTTATTAATATACTGTCAAATGAATAAATAACATTATAGGATTTTTGAATTTTTAAGGCCTTGAAGACTGCATTTTATTTAACGACAAAAACTTTGTTTCATAAATAAAGTAGAAATCTGAGAGCTGCCACTTGTAACGAAATAACATTTTCTAATGATATTCCCAATTTTCTGTATTTATTTCGAATAATTCTTAACTTCCGAAGATATTAAAAAGATACTTTGATTTCCTTTCATTTGTGTAATTGTTTTAAGACTTGAAGGAAAAGATAATTATTTCAGATTGGAAATTTGAAATATACTTTTTAGATTCTGCATAGAGAATAGATTTGCTTATTGTATTCTTAGTTGCTGACTGGGCAAAGCCAAGGTTTCTTAGTAATTGATAGAATCTCTAAATGATCTATAAGTTTTACTGGTAAACTACTTCTATATCGTTTTTATAAATTCTTGAATTCGAATAAATAAATTCTTATCACCGTTTTGTAATCTTCTGCATAAATGCTTTATTTATTTAATAAAATTTAGCTCCTTCATCAGATCGGCAAAATATCAGGAATTAAGCATATATATATATATATATGCATTAATTGAATTTTATAAAATGCAAAAGATTGCCACGGTAGCGCTTGATTATTTAAGTCTAAAAATGGAATATATAATTCCTAGTGGTGCAGTATTTTCTTTTTATATTTCATTAAAAATGTATTTAAGAAAAATATGCTTAAAGTAATTTAAAAAAAAACCTGTTATTATGTGTTCATATATTTAATCACTTTTGTCCCAGGCGTTTTTTTGGGGGGGTAGGTGTTTTTTATGGTTATACTTGTTATTAATAACGCTAAATGTGGCACATATTTTAAAATCATAACAAACAAATTATACTACAGCTCTAAAATTTTATTACTTTGAAATAGACGTAAGCATTTTAGAAAGAATATAGATTAGTTTTTTACATATTTCATTAATACTCCATGTATCAGGCTATCCAGATACAGTAGACAGATTTATTAAAAACAATTTCATTCCGTACACGCGTTGCTATTACAATGTATCCGTAAAGCATCCGTGATACGGTTGTGGGAAAATATTACAGATTAAAGACGAACGGAATTAAAGTCAATTTTGCAACAAAACCTAGTAAGAAAACATCGCACAGTATTATATCTGAAGACTGAGGTCCTCACTTTACTAATCTTTCATCTCCTGTTTTCTGTTCAGCTTAATCAAAAATTTTGTTTGAGATACTCTTGCAAATTGGCTACCTTTGTGGAAAATTTTGATTGAAATGCTTTTACAACCCACCGCGGCCGAACGGTAAAAGCCGCTGAACACTGGTAATTCGGTCCGGGGTTCGAGTCCCGGGGTCCCGGCTGCATGGGCGTATTCAAGGTTTTCTATCATGTGTAACGTGGATACGAGCCATCGTCCCTTAAAACGTCCTCCACGGAGCATTCCTCTCTTTCCTTGTAGTGCCTAAGAACGGAGCACGTAATAAGTTATAAAAATGCTCTTGCAGTTTGACTACTTAAATATTTTGGGTCCACCAGCGGCCGAGCGGTAAAGTCGTTGAACACTGGTAGTTCGGTCCGAGGTTCGAATCTTGCGAACGGGCTGGCTGCATGGGTGTTTTCGTGGTTTTCCCCATGTGTGACGTGTATACGAGCCAGTTTCCCTTAGAAAGTCCTCCACGAAGGCATCCCTCCCCTTAGGAAAATAGTACTCGAGGCTTTGCCGTAATTAAATAACCTAAATTTAAATATTTCTGTGCTGTCCGACAGGGATAGTGGTTAGCGATGCTGATTACTGTAAAGAAAAGCGCTGGTTCGAATTTCCAGAGAAGGGCACTGATCTTTGTAAATTTGTAGCGAGATGGCGGCACTGTAAATATGTTGCGAGTCGAAAGTTTCCTTGAGAGGTTGATGGTAGGGAAAGAGGAGTAGAAAGCCCTCAAACCCGTTTCCCCGGAAAGCTATTCTTCAAAATTGGGGGCGCGACTGAGCAAAGTGGCATTGTACCTGTATGGTGTTAAATCAATGCTCTTGCCAAGCATAGGAGCAGTCTTGCACTTCCTGCCACGAAGAATTTCGTGGGCTTGTTCTAATATCACTGTCACGCAAAGGAGATAAGTCACAACAACAACACAGCAACATGACTTCTGTAGCAGTGAACTGGCTAACCCTCTTTATTGGGAGTTATTAGTTAGTATGAGAAGGCATTACCAGTTGACCTATGGTACATCGCTGGTGTCCCCCATACTTTTACCTTTACCTTTACCTTTACCTTTACCTCTTTATTGGGAAAGCTTATCATATCTTTATTTATATTGTGAAAGCTTATCATTATTTGTTTTATCTTAAACGATAAAAACAAAGATGGGCATAATAAGCGCTGTGAAACAAGCGTAAAAAGTTTATGAATTATTTCGGCGCAGTAAATTGGGATTTATTAATATATATATATATATATATAGTTTTAGTATTTTACTGACCTATGAATAAACTTACATTTCTGTAGCTAAATGTATATTTTTATAAAGAATCGCAGAAGTATAATTTCCTTATTATTTCAAAATTGAAAATGTTCTCAGTCGCCTTAAGTTCGTACCTATTAGAAATAAAGGGAAAAGTTCGATTGTAAATTTGTGGTAGGGTTGAATGGTTTATCCAATTCTACCTATTCCAGAAAGTGTGAGTGTTTATGCAAATCGTAAAACTTTGAGGAGCGTTGGAAACCAAAAATCTTCAAAAAGTGGTAATTTTGAATTATTGCATTTTCAAATTCTCAATGCTTTTAGCTTTTTAAAAATATCATACTTTAACCTCTATAAAAATTAGATCTGTAAAAAGTTTAGATTTAATTTACTATCAAATGTAGTTTTAATTTACCATCAAAATCGAGGATTTTCGCATAAAAATGCGTTTTTCTCCAAATGTGATTTTTTTAATAGCCGATGTATCTCTTCTTAGGAACTACTGCCCAGAGGTATGTAAAATTTTTATGACCTATTTATTCAGTTTACTAATACTTACTGAAGTGAATTTTTTTTTTCCGCAGTGTGCGTTTTACTCAACACACAGCAAAACCATCTAAAAGTTAATCTGAATTCCTTGAAAACTTTTCAAGTATTTAAGAAACAAAAAATTGACCGCTTACTGCATTGATAGATAAGCTTTTTATCCACCTAAGGAAAATACAGAAAATGTTTACAGCAATAAAATTAACAAACCTTTACTTGAGTGTTATTCATAAACATGCTTGAATTACTTACCTTCTAAGCTAAGTTGAGCAGCACCTTGAGCTGAGTGGTCATTGCTTCGTACAAAGCACTGATACATTCCTTTGTCATCCCTCTGCACAGAATATATTTGAAGGACTTCAGAACTGATTAACTTAGTTCTCGCAGATGTAATGATTGGTTTCAGGTTCTTGGTCCAGACGAGGGATGTTATTTGGGGCCCTGTGACATTGCACGTAAATGTAACGCTAATTCCTTCTTTGACGATTAATTTTTCGGGATAGACTGATGCTCTCAGGGAATCTGAAAGAAAAAGAAATTGATCATTTAAATAGTTTAAAACTGCATATGGAAACCGGTTGTAAATTTCTTTCTTTATGTATTTACTGATCAATTTTCAGCTGCATAATGCGCGAAAATTCTTGAAATGATATTATATTTTAGTTTATAATTCTTTTTGTGTTTATATAAATTAATACAGATAATAAAATAATTTTGTTCTCAGGTTAAAATAACTTTTTTGAAAATATTAACGGCGTCTTTTCTCTATTTATATTAAAATGTGACGTTTTGATTTGAGTTTTAATATCCATAAATTGTTTATTTATTACTTTTACTTTGTTAGGCAAATTAAATTTACTTAATTTAAATTTGTATTTGTGTATTATTAACAGGGCCGAACCGTAGCATAGACAAATAAATGTCTAGGGCCCCGTCAAACGTTGGAAAAAAAAAATGTAAAAAATAAAATAAAAGTTATCTTTTATTTCACAAAATAAATAAAAGAAGTGTGCCAGCATACTCAACTTAAATTTAATCTAAATCTAAAGGTTTCCTTTTTACTTTCTTGTACGAAGTAAGAAGGAAGTATTGCAATCGCGAAAAGTTTCAGGCATCATATTTCAACGAAAATATCCAGTTTGGCCGCTTTCGAATGCAATTTAAGGATGTTTTAGCGTGACATCTGTACATAAGGACAGAATAAAAGACTCTTTTAGCCCACCAAAATTAAAAAGCTGATTTAAAATGAATTCTAAAGAGAATTTTTTGTGGCGTCTGTACGTACGTACGTATCTCGCAAAACTCAAAAACGTGTAGCCTCAGAACGTTGAAATTTTATATATAAGACTACTATAACATGTAGATGTGCACCTCGTATTTGGTTGCAATCGGCCGCAACAAACTTATATAAATATATAGTATATATAAATATATAACCACTTTGTTACCCAGCTCAATGATCTCAGTTTCTTTATACTCTTATATGTTTGTAAGTTGTGCATTTTTGCTTTAAGAATGATTGAATTGTGTTATTTTTATCTTTTGGTTAAGGTTTTATGCCTTTAGTAAATCTACATGCAGTACCGATCAGGCAGTGGACGAGAGAGGAGCGCGCGTTCTCCGTGGAGTCGTACTTTTCAATGCACTGAATTTTTATACATATAAATTGGCAGTGGTGCAAAAACATAAGTCACGCGATTTCCTTTCACGAAAAAATGCATGCAAAGTTGTTCTTGACAATACGCCTCATGATGCCCTTGTGTTCTTTAGCGATGAGACTCATTTTCGTTTGTCCGGTTGCAGCGTAGATTAAGCAAAACATGCGATAATGGAGCGGCACGAATTGCCGAGAGTTTCATGAGCAGCCCCTCCATGCAGAAAGTGTGACTGTTTGGTGTGCATTGTCCAGAATAGACATCGTTGGACGATGATTTTTTTCGGAGAACATTTCCCTGGACGCCTTATCTCCTTACGAGGCGATTGTCAGTGACTAGCGCGCTCTCCTGATTTAGCCCCGTGTGATTTCTTTTTGTGGGACTATCTGAAATTCTAAACGTGCAAAGATCCAGGCTCAACTGAAGAACAATATTCAAGCTGCTATCGACAACATACCCGTTGATATGCTGGTAAAAGTGGGGCCAACCTTAATGAACTATTTTTAAACCGTAATAAAGAAAAACTTTAAGTGTCTCTCTATAACTTGGAAAAAAATTAAACTGATATCGCTCATACTATTTGTGTTATTCATTTTTAAAATAAGGTAGTTTCCCTGTAGCACCCTGTATAACAGAATTTTTTGTAATAATTTTATTATATTTATTTAATAGTAATTTCTTTTCTGTAATACATATATATATTCCTTCTTTTACAAAGTTTTAACTCTTTAAGCACAGTAGTACTACCTTAAAATTATGTATATGTTGACTAATAGCAATTCGCTATTTAATTTATTCTGTACATTTGCCTTACCAGGCTAGTTTGTATAGTTTTTTCTTGCACCATTAATGTGTTTCTCATTTGCTTTTAACCAGCGGACACGTCGGAAAATGAAACAGAAAAATTGAGATTTAAGTTATATTACGTATATTTGTCTTTTTAATACTCAAAATGTTTTTTCGTGTTCAGTCTCAATTCTTCATGTTTGACGAAACGCATTATGGAATTAGCTGGATTCGAAACTCATTGTGCATTCCCTTGATAACTCCGTAATGAGATTCGAATTAGGCTAAATTACCATTTACCGCTTCTCAGTAATTTTGCGTGTGTTTTAAATAATTTTTGAGGTAATTTTAAAATGTTTTAGGATTGTTTAAACTTTCATCAACATTTTTAACTTTTAAATTTGATTTGAGTTTTACATTCACTTTTTTTGTCAGTTTTCTTGTTTAGTATTCATACATCTTTCTTGTATTTAAACTTTTTGTATTACGATTTATTTTTTACACAGTATTAAAAAAATTTTACACGGGAACCACAATATCACATTTGCTTTTAAGTAATAGCATGAAGAATTTCCTTTTTACCTTGTTTTCAAATTTTGCAGCTCAATGCGCAAAATTCTTGACCTCACTGATCTTTTTTAGTTTGTTCATATATATATTACATATATATTGATTTAGAAACTTTATGGCTTTGATGACTTATTAATATAAAACGTAGCAGAAAAAATATCATTTGGAAAGTACTGGACTTCACATACGAATATAATGTTAAGAAATCTCTGACATGTATGATGTATTATTTTATTACTTATTACATTTGGAGTAGACATAATTTTTTAATTAATATGAGATACAGATTATTTGCATCATTTTTGTGTTTTTAAGAAGTATATGTGGTAGTGTAAAAATGTAAAATATATAATACTCCATATAAACATGACTTCAAATAAATTTATTGAGAAAACAATCACAACAGGTCACGGAGCAGCTTAACGCTAAGACATAAACAAATATAGGAAAAATAAATACATAATAAATTGTTTTTTCAGTAC